CCTTTACTGCCACCTGCTGCCACCGCCCCCGTCACACCAGGATCTGACTCAGCCTCCAGGTAGGCACAAGGTCAGGTTCTTGGCTGCTGGTCAACTCCTCACCTTGTTTCTGGGAAGGGGGTAGGAATTGCTGATAGAAGTGATGCCCAGAGATGCTGGAGGGACATCCCAGATGGGGTATAGCATCTTCTAAAGTGACTGTTTCCTTAGACAGCCCTGAGATATGATTCCAGATGCCACCATGATGACCATGATAAGAAAGTCACAAAGTTATAGCCACTTGTTTCCTTTAGTGGCTGCTGCCGTAAAGGGCTGGGAGGGCCACGGGCAGCTAACACGGAAACTCCCAGAGCTCTTTGGGAGTACTAAATCATTCCTCAGCTTCGACGGAAGCTGCCAGTAGTTAGCTTTTCAAGCCACTCTCTGCAGCTGCCTGCCCCACCCATCAAGGATGGCCGCCACCTGGGCCTGTTAAAACAGTGAATGCTAACAGCAGAATCCAGGGATGGAGACGTGGTAGAGCGTGTGAATGCGGCACGCTCACGGAGCGATGTCTTCCAGAAAGCCACCGCATTCTCTGAGCCAGAAAGAAAACAGAAGGTGATCAAGAAGCCGGAGGGTCAATAAAGGATCCGACCCTTCCCTGCTTTCATGATCTTGTGACCTTTGACCAGGGCCTTAACCTCAGCCTCATTTCTTCATCTCTGAAGAGGGGATGCTAAAAAGTCTCAGCACTGTAGAGGGTTGGGAGGCATAACTGAAATGAGGGGGAGGGCTTTGAGCAAGGCCTATGGCACCGTCGCTGCACAATGAGTACCACGGCTATTGGTGCCAACAGCTATTGGTATCCTCGTCTCCATCACCATTTCAAGTCATTCCATCACATAACACACACAAGCAGCTCCCAAACTTCTCTTTACTGAGCACAGAGCTATCTCAGCACCAGCCCCACCCACTCTCCCTCACGTCCCTGTAATCCTAGCACTTGGGCGTTTGAGGCAGAATGATCCAGAGTTGAAGGCCAGCCTGGGGTATATAGTTAATTCTAGGATAGCCTGAGCTATATGGAAAATTCTAGGCCAGCCTTGGGACACACTCTGAAACAGATTTTTTTTTTA